GGGGGGGGGGGACAGGAGGTCCAGGAAGAAGGGAGGGAGGGACATTTTTGCAGTGGTCGTCCAAGCACGCCAAGGGGCTGGCCACATTCCGGAGCAGGAACGGCAAGGATGAAGGTTCCCCCAGGAACCGGAAGAGGCTGGTAAGTGGCTGGAGCACAGAGAGAGGCAGAGGACAGGACGGGAGGGAGGCCAGGGAGGGAGGATGCGGAGCGAGGCCAGGGCTGGGTCACCGAGGGAGGCACTGGCGTCCAAAGTCGGTCAGGCCGACCGCACGATGAAGGCCTAGCCACAGGGCCCACCCAGTCCTTTGCTGACCTCGTTCTGGAAGCTTCGTGTTTGCGGAAGCTGCGCTGGGCCATCCGCCCCACCCCACACACGTCCTGGAGCACCGACTGTGTGCCAGCCCGGTGCCGGGGCTGCAGAAGAGCAGGACACGGTCCCCGCCCTCGGGGAGCCCGCCGTCTCACGGGGACACGGGAAACGCAGCCACAGCACAGCACAAAGGGCGTACGCTGCCATGAGCACACAGGCGCCGAGCCCCTCCCCGCCAGACCCGACCGAGCGATTTCGTGTCACTTCTCCTCTAAGTAACTGCTATTTCCTAAGAAAAGGGAGACAGACTGAGATTCCTAAAAGCCACATTCTCTGGAAACAACCTGAGCGCCCATTAACTGATGAACAAACACAGAGTGGTCCATCCACACGGTGGAATATGACTCAGCCACGAACAAGAAGGCGGCTGCGACACAGGCCACAGCATGAAGGACCTTGAGGACGTCAGGCTCCGTGAGACACACACTGTGTAACTCCATTTCTCTGAAACATCCAGAGCAGGCCAGTCCACAGAGACAGGATGCGGATTCGTGGGTGCCAGAGAGAATCGGAGGTGATCGCAGGCGGGTACGGTGCTTCTCAAAGGGGGGGGTTGACAGGAACATTCTAGAATTAGACAGTTGTGAGGGCTGCCCTACACTGCTAACACCCTGAAAGCCACTGCAGGGTATCCTTTAAAACAGTGAGCTTTATGCTACATAAACTTTACTTCAATTTAAAAAAAATTAAGCATAAAGGTCAGGCATGGTGGCTCACGCTTATAACCGCAGCACTCTGGAAGGCCAAGGCGAGAGGACTGCTTGAGACCAGGTGTTCAAGACCAGTCTGGCCAATTTGGCAAGACCTCATCTCCACAAAATATCAAAAAATGAGCTGGGCATAGTAGTGCATACCTGTAGTCCTAGCTACTCGGAGACTGAGGCGGAAGGATTGCCTGAGCCCAGGAGGTCGAGGCTGCGGTGAGCCATGATCGTGCCACTACACTCCAGCCTGGGCGACAGCTCAATCCATCCATCAATCAAATGACGACTAAAGCCCCATTCTCTCGGCATGATGCCCGTCAGGCGAGGTGGGCAGGAGCCAAGAAGGCGCGGGCTGAGAGAAGCCAGTAGTGAAGAATGGATGTGGGAGCAGGTGAGGGGAGTTTAAGGAGCCCCAGAACCGTGAGGCTGGTCAGGAGGGACAGGGCTGGCTGGACAGGTGCTGGGGGAGAGGCAGGCACACCAGCATAGGCACGGAATGCAGGCACGGGGCAAGGAGCCTGGCAGGCATCGGGGCTGGGTAGGTGAAGGGGCCTCGGCCTCCTGCAGGTCCCTGGCAAGCCCCCAGGCTTACCCGACCCTCCCCTGCCAGGACAGGTTTGGAGCCCTCACCAGTCTCCAGCATGCAGACACAGCTAACCATCCCCACCTGGACCAGAAAAACGGAGCCAGGTGTTTGCAGGACCTCTGTGCAGCGTCGACTGTGTTTTGTCTCCCTCAGGCATGTGGCCCTATCTGTGTAAATTTTCGACAAGATTCAAAAGGATGATACTGAGCAGGTCAAGCCCCAAACTGAAAATACAAGAGGAGTGCTGAGGCTCGGTGGACTTGCCTCCAGGGCCTTGCCAGGGCTCCCGGCTGCAACTTCTCTCTGGGAAAGCCTAGTAAGAAGAGAAGGGAAATGTCACCCCCCAAGTTCACGGTGTGAGGGGCCAGCTCAGAGAGTAAGGGATCAAATAGCGGGGCTGAGGCTCTTGCAGGAAGAGCAGGTGAGGACCACGATCCCAAGGGTGGACATGGGTGACACAGAGCTTGCCATGTCTCCCTCTATGGGATCGGTAGGAATTATCTTGATTTTGCAGATACATTAAAAAGCCCTGGGGCAACCCCTCTGGGTTCCCAGCCACTGTGGGAGCTTCTCTGTCCTCTCAATAAATCCTGCTTTCTCACTTAAAAAAAAAAAAAGCCCTCCTTAGCCAGGCATGGTGGCTCACACCCGTAGTGCCGGCAACTCAGACTGGAGCATCACTTGAGTCTAGGAGCATAAGCCCAGCCTGAGCAACAGTGAGCCGGCATATCAAAATAAAAAAAATTAGCCGGGCATGGTGGCACGTACCTGTAGTCCCAGCTATGCGGGAGGCTGAGGTGGGAGGATCGCCTGAACCCAGGAGGTCGAGGCTGCGGTGAGCCGTGATCATGCTACTGCACTCCAGCCAGGACAACAGAGTGAGATCCAGACTCAAAAAAAAAAATCCCTCCTGCTCTTGACCAGCCATGACCTTATTTTGTTTCCATTGACCGGGAAGAATGTGCATGTTCCACAGCTGGGGAAACTGAGTCTGGGAAGGAGAGTGACGTGCCACACACTGTGCTTGTGGACCAAGCCAGGACCTCGGATCCAGAAAAGGTTCTGGGAAATCTGATCCACACCGAGGGGTCTGGAGGTCGTGAATGCGGGCAGTACAGAGAAGCCCCCAGAAAGAACAGCCAAAGCCAGCCCACTCCACCAGCCTGAGAGTCGGGAGCTGAGAGGACGCACAGCTCCCCCTCCGGCCTGGCGACCTGGAGGGTGACCAATCGAAAGAGGAAGGTCGACCCAGCTGGGCGTTCCCAACTGCCCCCATACCAGCTGAGCACCCACTGGGCGGCGCTGGGCTGGGTGCCAATGTGCGCCTGGTTCTGGGGCCCTCCCAGGAGCCTGTGTGAAGCTAGTGGACCATGACCGACTACGCTCAGAGAGAGGATGTCAGTTCCCAAGACACAGCGAACCAGGGGTGAAAGCAGGTCCCGGGCCCATGCGGCAGGATCCACACCCTCCCCCACCGGAGAGGTTCCTCCTAGGCCCCCTCCCCAGGTCCTGTCCCAGCGGGAAAGAAAAGCCAGCCTGGGAGCTAGGGGCCTGGGAGCCGGGTCCTGGCTTCTGGTCCCAGTCCACCCTCCTGCTCACTGGCTAGAGGACCCTGAACGAGCTCCACTCCCTCTTCATCTACCAAGGAACAGAGATGCACAAGTGGGACCCTTCGAGGCAGACGGTTCTCAGCCACGGTGACTCTGCCCCAGGAAGCACTTAGCGATGTCTGGAGACATCTGGCGATCGAGGCTGGAGGGGGTGTGTTCCTGGTCTCCTCAGGGGAGGCAGGGAGGCTCCACAGCGCCCTGTGATTTCCACAGACTGACCCAGCCCCAGAGTTGCCACTCTGGTGTTCTGAGGTACTGGTGCTCGGGCCCAGATGCCAGCTGGGTCCCTCCGGGCACCGAGCAACGCTGACTGTCATCTGCACACCTGTCCACCTGCTCAGGCCACCCTCATGGTCGCCGTGAGGACGGGAAGTCAAGGAGCTGGCACCAGGCCAAGACACACTTGTCGCCCACTGGCCTGGGGAGGGCATGGGAAGCACAGAGTCCTGTCCATGCCTGGCAGGGATACCAGTCAAGGCTGCGCAAAGAATGAATCTGTTCTCTGTATCTGGTGTGGACTGAGTGTCAAGATAAGACGTTGGGTAAATAAAGAGAAGTTCAGAATCACACGTTAAAAAAAGAAAGCTGCCGGGCTCAGCGTGTAATCCCGTGCCTTTGGGAGGCTGAGGTGAGTGAATTGCCTGAGCCCGCGGGTTCGAGACCCGCCTGGGCAGCGAGACCTCATCTCT